CTTACTACGAAATTTTCCTTTTTTTCAGATAAATTGTTAGTTGCATAGCCACCATTAGACTTTTTTTCCCATTATAATAATTTTACTAATTTTACAAATTTTCTAATTCTCACTCCTTACCTTTCCTTTTGAATTTTCTTCTTGTTTCATCCCTTGTCAATAAAACCTTTATATTAACAATTTACCTTAATACTTTAATTCTTAAAAGGAATGGAAGGCATTCGGAAGTTGTTCTAATGGTAGCATGTGCGATGGGTAACCATCCACCGGCAGATTCAGGGTTCGCTCGCTCTTCCATGGGTTGCACAGCAAACAGTCTGATGGTGGCCGTGCAACAAATAATTTACCATTTAAAACAAATGAACGAATTGCTGGGCTGGTTTTTCTAATGGCAAATCCGAAACAAATCGAATTTAAAAAAGTTAAAATTTCTGACCGTATAAAGTTAAGAAATTTTGAAAAGTAAAACCTTTTTCTTTTTCGAGCTAAAAATTTTCGCATCAAATTAATTTGAATCAAACGTATTACTACTCACCAAACTGCTTCAACAAACTTCATCCGAAAATACGTGTACTTACTGCAAGTCTAACTTTCTTCAACTAATCTCACAGAAATAAAAATGGTGCAGAAAATGAACGATGGTAAAAACACGAACAGGCCCAGTTCTTCTGTATTTTACGCCTGGGGCGCAGTAAACGAATTTACCAGAAGCGTCGCCGCCACTCGTGAAAACTGCCATGGTACGTCCTCTGTAACACTTGGGAACGATTTTAAAGCCTTCTCGACCAGCTGTCGGAACAATCGAGTCGGCTCGCTCCGAAAGACGAGGAGTTCTATGGGGGGTCTCATAGGGCGAGCCAAGTGCGATATCATCATCGGCCTGCTCCATGTTTGCATCATACGTTCCCATTGCCTCCTGAACAAAACAACATAAAGCACTGACTTCATAATCTAATCCAAGTGGCAACGCGCACACGGTTTCTGGAATGAACTTGCATTTTTGCGCTAAACTTGAAGCAGTTAGGTCGCATACAGAATGAGTGGTTGTTGCTTTACAGTTCAACTTGTGCACTCATATTGGCTGTGTTTTGGTCTTTTCTTGCATGCAGGGGAAAAAAGCATTGAGATGCAAGGGTAATTTTGAACGGGGAAGAAAATTTGCGAAAAACCTTAACTTCCAATGTGTATAATTTGTGACAAATTTTTGCATGAACGGAAATAAAAATGCAAATTGGGTTATGTATAGAATGTCGAGAGAGAAGGATGATGTAACCCTAGATCGAATGTTTCCGTCAGAATTTTAATGCGTTCTTACGTGACACAGCAGCGTACTTAGGAACAAAATTTGAAGTCTTTGAATCGAACATGAACAGAGATGTTCCTAAAATTTAAGACTCTTAAGAAAATACGAAGACGCACACACTGACACAGACACGCACACACAAACACACACACAGACACAAAGGCAGAAATACACTCAAAAAAACATATAACAAACGCATGAACACACACACACACACACACACACACACACAAATATATGTATCCCATGGGCATTCACAATATGCGTTTTGCATTGTACGAATATGCAAAAACATGAAAATGAGTAATATCAGGGCGCACTTCTTGAAAAAAGACTGCCGAGTTTGGTCCGCAAAGAAAGGGTTGTTATGGAAAGAGGAAATCGATGGGCTTCTTGCTCATTGCGACTAACGGAGCCCGGAAAGGTAGAGGGGGAGGACGGAAGAATGAGTAATCAATTATCACAGCTGATGAAAAATCATTTACATCCAAAAGCAAAAGGCATTGCCTAGGGAAGAAGACTGAAATTAGCGGAAGAGGATATCTTCAAATGACGAAAAACAGCAATTCTGGAAAAAGAAAATTGGCAACGCACGGGCTGCCCGTGCGAAGATGCGTTTTTTGCATGGTTCCCCGCAGTTTTTGTTGCTACC